TGTTTTCTTTGGCGAATTTTTTAGACCATTGAAGTCGGTAAGGGCGTGCCCCAAAGCCCATTGCCGTACCGTTTTCCTATTTTGGCCAGCTTTTTCGAGATCTGGCGCCAGTGTGCGCGGCGTTGCGTCTGAGGACGATACGCGAGCGGGGGGGGGGGGGAGCGAAGAAAGGAGCTGCGGCCGTCTCTCGTGTACAACTAATGAAAGAGTGAGGCGCGGGAGGCAGTCGATGGCGAGGGGAAGGAAAAGGGGGGAGGGAGGTGCTGCGCGTCTCGCAGCTGCCCGACCTTCTCCTCCTCAACGCCTGTGGCGTAGCGGAGTTGGGGGCGACAAATCTCCACATTAGAAATTATATCATTATCTTGTCTTGTACATTCTTGGTAATTGAAGGGGGGGGGGGGGCGAAGAAGGAGCTGCGGCCGTCTCTCGTGTACAACTAATGAAGAGTGAGGCGCGGGAGCAGTCGAGGCGGAGGGGAAGGGAAAAGGGGGGAGGGGAGGTGCTGCGCGTCTCGCAGCTGCCCGACCTTCTCCTCCTCACGCGGTGGCGTAGCGGAGTGGGGGCGACAAATCTCACAAGAAATTATATTCATATCTTGTAAAAATTTGAACCATTTCATTTTATATTTTTGTCGCACCTACGATTCGGACCGATTGAAACGAGCACGGAATCTTTCATAACTTATTCTGTGACGAATTCTTTCAATGAATGTATCATAATGACAGCTTGCACTTTGTAGCGATTGCTAACATCGTCTGTACTCGCTTATAGGGTCTCTACGTATTTCATTTTGTGCTTGGATTGTTTATGATTAATGCTAAGCGAGATTGATTTCTATCATATAAAGAATACTGTTCAATATTTTATAATAACGGTATCAAATTAGATTACAGTAAGAATATGTCCCTTCATGGAAGTCCGTGAGTGATGCTTTGACAATTTGAAGAAAGTTTCAGGATCGTCAGTCGGCCAATTCACATTAAACTTAATCTTAAATACGTAGGCTATGCGTTTTCCAAACTGTGATTTTAGTGCTCAGTAGCCTGTAGGGATTGTTAAATTATTGAAAAATGTTGAAAATTTGTATTGTTCGGGTACGTATACATTCTACTATCGGAATATTCAATAGTTTATGTACGTTTTTATTTATGTAATTGTATGTTTGAATATTTGCTGTGGTTCAACCTTTATTTTTTTAAATAAAAAAATCAGAACAAGTAAAATCCAGTACTTTTCATTTACTTTTCTTCTTCTCCTTCTTCTTTTTCTTCTTCTTTTTTTTCTTCTTTTTCTTCTTCTTTTTCTTTTTCTTCTTCTTTTTCTTCTTCTTTTTCTTCTTCTTTTTCT